ATTAAAACTCAAAAAGTTTATATACATGACCGTCCAACCAACTGGCTGACCTTTTACTACTGACTCCCAAACCAAAAAAAGACAGTAAAAGGAGAAACGAGGATAACCAAATACCTCGGTGCACCTCTGAGCAAAACAGCAAAAAGATCCAAAAGAAAAAGAAAGAAAAAGAAAAAAAACCAGCCCCAACCCAAATAAAACTGAAAGTCCAAGAAAACAACAAAAAACTAAACCAACTATGCGGCTATAAACAACCAGAGCACAACTCCTTAATACCCTACAAAAGAAAAGAGAAAACAGGATCCCTAAAGCTTCATTAAATACAAACACTAGAAGGGAGTAACAGAGGTTGCACTGACAACACACATGGTTGCCCTACATTCTATTACTCCTGCAGAACAGTCACCCCAACCCACAGAAAAAAGAAAAAAGAAAGCTAAATATTAGATACTTGCATAAATTCCAGCCATTCTACTTTTGCCCCCTTTGCAGTTTCTACTTCTGAAATCCAATCCTTTTTGAACACCCAACTGTTGCGGGTTTTCCATAGCCACCATAGGACATATGTAGAAAGAGTTATTATGTCCTGTGCACCAAGAAAATCCTTCATCAAAGTAATGTCTTGCCACCAGTTCTTGAATGATTTCTTATCTTCTGGCAGCTCACCCCATGACACAACACACTTATCAGCCTCCATACCTTCACAGCTCTTTGACAAGAGAAAAGGATATGCTCGAGTGTTTCTTCTGTTTCACCACACAGGCTGCATATAGGATCAATATGTAACCCTTTGTGCCTCAGCTTATCTTGAGTCCCTACAAAACCATGGTAGCATCTCCAAACAAATAGCTTTATTTTGTTTTTAATCTTCAAAGACCAGGTGTGTTTCCAAAGCTTTGATTGGATAGTGCCACTGTTGCTGGTTTCTGGTTTATCTTTTGCAAGCTCCTGTTTCATTTGAATAGCAGAATACATAGATTTGACAGTAAAATTGCCCTTATTGGTGAATCTCCACACTAACCTATCCCTACTAAGACTAGACACACCCTCTATTTGAAATTTGATATTCAGGATCGCTTGAGCATCCATTGGGCATAAAGTTTGCTCTATAAGATCTTTGTCCCACTGCAGCCCATCCTCAGTCATAAGGTCCCTCACTTTTGACAGCTTTGACTTGTCTCAACAAACCTACATACAGGAATGACAGTAGGAGTGTTTGGTATCCAGGGACAGTCCCAGATTCCAATAGTCAACCCATCCCCCACTTTGTACCTAATACCCTCTCTCAAGCACATCCTAACACTCAACCATGATTTCCAGAGCCATGAATCATAAGGCTTTGGTTTTATCTCCCACAGGCTTTGGTTATAGAAATACCTCCCTTTAAGAACTTTGCTCATCAAGAGGTTTGGGCAAGTAATGATCCTTCAAAGTTGGTTTCCTATTAGGGCTCTGTTAAAAACCTCCAGATTCCTAATCCCCAACCCACCCCTTTCCTTAGACCTAGCCAATTTGTCCCAGCTGCCCCAGTGAATTTTGTTCTTTCCTTCATCTGTTTTTCCCCACTAGAAATCAGCAATGCTCTTGCAAATATCATGGCATGTACTTATGCGAAGCTTGAAACAAGACATCACATATAATGGTAAAGCACTAAGCACAGCATTGATTAAAGTAAGCTTTCCTGCTTCACTCAAAAAACCATTTTTCCAGCTTGAAATTCTAGCTAACACACAATCAACAACATACTGAAAAGTGGATTTTTTAGATCTTCCTATTCCTAAAGGCAAGCCAAGATATTTGGATGATTTCACAACCTGGACTTCTTGGAGAATTTGGGATATTTGAGTTTTAGTCCCCTCAGAGGTACTTTTGGAAAAGATGATTGAGGATTTGGTAATGTTTACCTTTTGTCCAGAGGCCTGGCCATAGTTTTCAAGCATATTCAGCAGGGTAGAAGCATTTTGAGCAGTGGCTTTGCAAAACACAATGGAGTCATCAACAAAAAACAAATGGGTAATGATATGAGCATGCTTACCAATTTTAAAGCCCTGGAAATGATTTTGAGCTGAAGCTTTGTTTATCAGATTGGAAAATGCCTCAGCGATTATGATAAAAAGGTAAGGGGATAGAGGATCCGCCTACCTTAAACCTCGGGAGGGCTTTATGTACCCCTTTGGCTGCCCATGAATTTTGAAAGAAAAAGAGGAGGAGCTAATACAAGTAAGAATCCAATTAACAAAAGAATGACAGAATCCCACCTTTCTAAGAATCAAAACAAGGAAAGCCCATTCCACCCGGTCAAAAGCCTTAGCCATATCCAATTTAATAGCCATTATACCTTCCTTACCCTTTCTTTTGCTATTCAAGAAATGCACATATTCATTTGCTAATATGACATTGTCAATGATTTGTCTCCAGGCACAAAGGTTGCCTGGTTCTGTGCAATGCAAAGGTGAAGGACAGATTTAATCCTATTTGCCAAAATTTTTGAGATCAACCTATAGATGTCATTACAGAGGCTTATAGGCCGAAGGCCAGAGACACTTTGGGGGTTCTGAATTTTAGGGATCAAGGAAATAATGGTATGGTTTAACTGACTGGACATAAGATTGTTCTGAAAAAAATTCCTAATAGTTGTTCCCACATCATGATGAATAATATCCCAATGAGATTGAAAAAATAGAGGAGTGAAGCCATCTGTACCTGGAGCTTTTTGGGGATGCATTTCCATGAGTGCCACTTTGATCTCCTCATCCTGTACAGGTTGGGTAAGGGTTGCATTTTTGTTGGTCACCAATCACTCTGTTGATGCCTGCCAGGCTGCAACTGTTTGTGTTTGGATTCTGAGATTTGAAAATGTCCTTATAGAAGTCTAGGATTTCAGCTAGATTCTCATCCTCAGTGCTGCATTTAGATCCATCCCTTCAAGTCAAAAGGTCAAAAGCATTGGATCTTTTTTTATGATTAACACATGCATGGAAATATTGTGTGTTTTTGTCACCAGCTTTCAGCCAAAGAATTCTGGATTTGCTTTGCCAGTACTGCTCTTCCTCCAGATATGCTTTATGCAGCTGAGACTTGCTTCTATCCCATTCAGTTCAATCCTTGTCCTTGCCAAGAAGAAGCATATCCTTCAGCTGTGCTTTGCAGATCTCAATTTGCTTAGCTGAGTTGGATTGAAGCTTTGAATTCCAGTCCAGTAGAGCCAACCGAGTATCTTTGAGCTTATTTTGGATTCCAACTCAGGTCTGATCCCCTTCATGATCCTTCCAGACAGTGGTTATGACTTCTTTGAGACCTTCCTTTGTTTGCCACCTCGGGTCATAAGTAAATCTCTTTTTTCCTTTTTTCTTGAGGGGATCAGTTTGGAGCAGTAAGAGACAGTGGTCTGAGGATATTAGATTAATATGCTTAACACTGGACAAAGGGAAAGACAAGAGCCACCCTGGAGAAAAGAAAATTCTATCCAATCTTTCCTCTACAAATCCCTCTCTCTGTCTATTGTTAGCCCAGGTAAAGGGATATCCCTAAAAACCAAACATCACCCCAAGTGAGGCTGTGTCTGATCAAAGACTGCCATAGGGTTTTCCTAACTTTTTTATCAGTTCTTAAATACACAAATACCCCCCATAGCTTAGTACTGCTCCCAGGATACAGAAAACACACTTGGATACAAAAATCACTACACAAAACATCTAAAATAGTAATAGAGTTATCCCAATACAAAAAAAAGGCCCCCTTTTAACCCTACTGGTTCCACTGATATCCACCTATCATCTAGCCTAAGCTTCTTACAAACAGTTTTTAAGAAATTATTTTTCTTTTTTGTTTCAGAAAGAAACACAAAATGAGGGAGATGAGTTCTGAGAATCTCTTTGATTTGGAAAATTGTAGAGGGCCCTCCCAGACCTCTACAATTCCACAACGAAACTTTCATTTGGAAACTTGGGACCAGTTATGGCTGGTTTCCTCCACCATTTGAGCATGTTGATTTGAGTTTCCAACAGAAAGATCAGTTTTTAGTTTTTTAGAAGATTCAGTTTCAGAGTGCAGATGATCACATATAACCTCCAAATTTATTTTCTTATTTTCATTCAAAGTAACCTGGACCTCTAAATTATCTTTGCCCTTATTCAAATCTAAACCTCTTTTTTTTATCAATAATAACAGGTTTTTTCAAAGCCATTTTCTTTCTTTCACCAGATTGATTTAAATCACTAATAATTCTCTTAGTAGCCAGTTGAACAGGAATTGGCACCAAGTTATCCAAGCACATTAAATCAGTATCCTGGGCAATACTAGGCTCCTTTTCCTGTTTTCCCATCATGGGTGCAGCAGGATTGGAAATTGGTGTGACCCCCACAGACCCCACACTCACACTCCTGGCAGACTTAATAGTAGGACTTGCTCTTCAAATATTATAATAACTTTTCTAATTTAATGGTCTTGTATACATTGACGTACAAAATAAGACTAAATAATCAAGAGCGTAAAAAAATGCATTGTTTTGATAATTTTTTTTACTGTGTTTGCATGCAATGGCTTTTTTATTCCCCCCATTTATTTTATCACGTGTTTACTTCTAACAAATATCACCTCCCTATATAAGGGAGTCATGCTTATTATCATTACATTCTCTATTATTATATACACTATTCCTTGCACTTCACTTCATCTTCTACAAGTGTTCATCTAAGAATCAGAGGTTTTTCATCGGAGAATCCCTTCAGTGTGAGTGTTTTTGCAGGTTCGTAGGCAATCTATCAGCGAGAAAACTCGAGTTCAGACCGTTTCCAGCCGGTCTCAGGTCTTTTGCATACCATATTCCATCTCTTAATAAAATATAACCTTTTTTTTTTTAATTTAAATTGGTAGTATTTCTCGGACAATAGGGTGTTGAGGTGATTTGTAAGGATTGATTTGTATGTATCTAGATTAGTGTAAAAAAAATCTGTTAAGATAAAACAATTTGAATAGTAAATCAATCGGTAGTTTAAATAAGATATAATATGATTTGTTTCGAAAGAAACAACATTGGTAATCGATTTGTGTAACAAAAATTGTTAACGTATAAGTCGTGGCTTTCAGCCGTAGTGTTCGAGAACACCGAAACCAACTGTGGATTTGAACCCAATACCGATCCTTTGACTGAAAACAAATCCGAAGCTAGGAGTGCCGTGAGTACCCAATATCGGATAAGTGGAGACAGCCTCGCGAAGACTGCCCGCCCGTATAACGGCTGCCATAACGGAAGCCATGATGGAGCACCAGCGAAGCGAGCTAGCTACCTCACCTTGACCTGTTAAGACGACGAAAGGTTCAGCGACCACTCATGGCGTATGATAGCGCGAAGCGAAGAGAAGACTACTCCGAGACGAAGGGAGGGAACTGAGACGAAGGGAAGGATGGGAAATAGGAGGTTAACAGACGCTCAAGGCCGCTAGGGCCAAGAGTTGTTTAGCTACACCGGACACGAAAGACGAAGCCCTTTCCTTTTGTCGGCTGAGTGGGAACCCAACTGCAGGTCTCGGAACCCAGCAAAGCTTTCCGAGCTGAGACCGAGCATTACTCTAAGCCAAGCGCCATCCAGGAGGAGAACGAAGGGAGCCCTCGCAAAACGACATCGAGATTGGTAAAGGTGTTCCGGGTCCCTAAATATAAGGTCAATTGCACTCCATTAGAGTTATGAATCTGTCTTAAGAAGACCTTATAAAGTAGTCTAATCGCCCTTTGGGTTCTTTTTCTCTTATCTTGGATTACAGAAAGTCGAGTTTCTCCTTTCTTCATTCGCTAAGTCGTGGCTCTCAGCCGTAGAAGGTTAAGCCCTTATTCCACTCGTTCCTCGTGGTGGGCTTGATCTTGGCTTCCAGCCGCTAAAACAAGTAACAAGTCTTGGCTTTCAGCCGCAGGAAAGGTAGTTCGGCCCCTACTATTGCTATAAGCGAGTTGATTATTGATTGGCATCTATCGGGATTAGTGTTTAAAGCATGAGCTTTATTTACGTTGAGATTTAAGGAGAGTCAGTGACTTGTAAATAAAAAATAATAATAATAATAAAAAGATATTACACTTATATCCTAAAATCATTATAAAAAAAATAAAATATCACACTTTATATTCGTATGTAGGAAAAATAAATAGTGTTTTGAAATGATTTTACTATATGTATAAATCTTTTATTTGAAGAATACATTTTTTAACCGGTTTACAGTTATATATATCCCTTTTTGATGCAACTAATTTTTTCTTTAAAAAATACAACTCTTTAATAGTAAAAAGAATATTTTTATATAATATCAACGATGAACATATAAGTTTAATAAATAATATGTATTGTATAAATTTTTAAAAAGTTCATACATGATATGTGAAACAACATTGAACAATTGTTGAAGTATATTAGGAATTGATTTTTGAAATAACTTGAAAAAAGAAAAAAAAACATATTTGAAATCGCTGAAAAAAAGAAGAAGACATCAAATGGCGTGTAAGTTTTGTATTTACCATGATTAGAAAGTTAAAGTTGATTTGATGTGCAAGAATAATTGATTGATATTATAAAATTATATTGTTAATATTGAGGATATTGGGGTTAAGTTAAATGTTGAGTTTTGATTGATTTTCATTTTTTATTTTTGTTGAGTTTATAACTAGTCACAACCTTAATAGTCGAAACCTACATATTCCACCATTCTTCTCTGCAATTTTGGTCTATATCTTTTCTTCTTCTTCGCCCCCCGAGGTATGGGGCAAGTCTGATCCAACCATCGCCAGCATTTACCATCTAAGTTAAATTGTCTGACGCTTCCGTTGTAAGTACCACTTTTACCAAGCCTTTAATTGTTAAATTAATAGGTTTTTCATATCGAATTTGTATGGGTTATTCGTTTGAGATTTGCTATCTTTTTTAATTGGTGAATTTCATCGAAATCCCAATGTTCACTCCACTTCACGAAGGTGCCCAATGAGAAAAAAGGCGACAAACATTTCATATGTATTTGCACCATTGTTCGGCCAACTCCAAAAAGAAGTATGCTTTTAAAATCGGCAATGGGTACTGAACGTTGACACAACACATAAAGCATCAACATCCGGACGAAATGGGGATTCCACGGCCCAAATGCGATTCCCGGGCGAGTAGCCATGCATTCACAGGTATGTCGTCTACTTTATTCCAATACTCCCATGAAAACCATATAAACAACTAGCTAACTTTGTTTGTGGTTCGTCTTTTCCTTTCAGTTTTGATGATTCTGATTTATATAAAAATTTTGTTCAAATGGCTTTAAAACTAGTTGTGTCTTAGGTTCCACATACTACTCATACTCGTGATATTTGAAAAATTGTGAGAGAGAAAAAATTAATTTTGGCGCAAACTTTTGAAGTTTTAAACCAAAGAATTTTTATCTATTGTGACATTTGGTCCGACCATTGGCAATATAAGTTTTACATGGAAATTACTTGTCACTGGGTAGATAATAATTTTACATTACAAAATTTTTAATTGCTTATGCGGGATTTCCTAATGCTCACATTGCTTCTAATATTGCTTGTTTAATTTCACGTGTCTTGAATAGTTTATAGAATAGGTAAAAAAACTCTTTTCTATTTCTTTTAATAATGCTAGTACTAATACTGCATCTATACTCGAGCTTAAGGAAATTTGTTGTCCCATTTGTGGGGGAATTTTTTTTTATATTCGGCGTCCGTGTCATGTCCTTAATCTTTGTGTTCAAGCGGGTCATTATACTTTGAAAGATACGGTTACGCCCATTAGGAATGCCGTTACTTATTTACATAAACGTCCGCAAGAGAAGATAAAAAAAAAGGAGAAGGTATTGTAAAGAGCTAGGTTTTACACCTAAAAAATTCTAACCGAACGTTCCTAACCGTTGGAGCTCAACTTATAAAATGTTATTGAAAGCGTATGCATTTTCTCATCAATATGAGGAATTTTTTCGTAGTCCTCGACGTATGGATTATTATGTCACCTACCACCCAAGATTGGGTAAATTGCCACACATTTATGCAATTTTTAGAAAAATTTCAAGATGCTACTAACATATTTTCTGATGTTTACTATCCTATTGCTCAATTTGTTGTAAGTCAGTGTGTGGGGTTTTAGAGATTTTACTAGTGATCCTGACTTACATTGCGAACTTGTAAGAGATCTGCAACTTTGTTAGATACGTCATTACGCGAAAATGGCTTGCTCAACCAACTTAAGACATATTATGATTTTATGTATCAACTTCCACTTCTCAGTTACACTGATGTCCCGACTATCAGTGAATAGCTAACCCACGACAGCTCGTCGAGTAAGCTAAACTTTTATTATAAGAACCGTCTAGGGAAATAACAATCGGACTTGGGGAAAGTCCGGCGTCATTTTCTTCAACTGCTTCCAGGTCTTCTTCTTATAGAAAATGGGGACAGACAACGCAACAAACCCAAAACTTTTATGATTGGTGGGATGACTTTAATTCCTACAAAAATGCTAAGATCCAAATGGCAATGGGGGTTGGATACAATAAGCTCGATCATTACCTCACGACGAATTTGATACTTACAATTGCCCATGAACCTGTTGCCACAAAAATTCTACTTCTTAGATTGATGGTCAAAGATGTATGCCATTTTAGCAATTCCATGCTTGACGGCCAAAGAGATTTTCGTTGTCCGGGCATCAACAATTGCGGTTGAACAAGCATTCAACGAGAGAGGATATAAACTGGACTCACCAAGATCGAGGTTGACGCCACAAAATTTGGAGGCTTAAATGCTGTTGAGTGACTGGAAGAAGGCCGAAATGAGGACACAAAAGACCATGCTAACTGTCGAAGATATGACGAAGATGATGAGAAATTCGATTTTCTTCCAGTACTAGTGGAACCACTAGAAATGAAGAGGACTACGACACATACAACTACGGGGATTAGACAATTGGTTCAATCCTACCTGCCATCTACTTGTATCAAGGTAACTATAGTAAGAGAACTACGAGAACTTTGATTCCTAATGTAAGAGATACGTAGACAACTTAATTACCGTATTACAAGTTAAACTATCATTTTGTAACCCAAAAGAATTTTCAACTTAATTGATATTTTAACTATAATATGTCAACTAAGCCGAAGCCCAGATTCTTTACAACCGGTCTGGATTGAAACCGAAACCGGCCCAGACCTGGTCGGAACCGGGTTAAACAAGTCCCGAACTGTTGGGTCATGAACCAGCCCAAAACCGAGTTGAATCAGTCCCAAACCGCTGGGTCGGTGAACTAGATCGGAACTGCCGGGCCAATGAACCGGCCCGTATCTACATTCGGTCTGGTTTCGGGTATGTGTTTTCAAGCCCGGTGACCCGCCTGGCCAGGCGGGGCCCAGACTCGGCCCCCCAAATGGCCATG